TAATGATATATATAAAATAAAATGTATTAACACACATATTAATAAGATACAACAATATAAATGATATTATATAAGGTGCCTGCCTTGTCATTTTTGTCACCTAGGCGGGCACACTTAGTCGTCTAGAAGGTGTAGTTGCTATAAGTCAAGGTGTTTGGGCGAGGTGCCCAGCCAAGGGTGCCTAGTCACCTAGGTGACACCTTGACAACTATGGTATGGAAGATGATACCAATTACGATCATTGGTCAAATAGGGGTCTCTTTGAATTTTTATTTGCTTTTATTTTGTTGTTGTGAAATGAAGTTCTCGATGATTGTCCCATTAGAATAAGGAAAGTGCTCCCAACAATTATAGCAGATAATCAAGGAGCTTTTGTGAAGGGGAGACAGATAACAGATCAGATTCTGATAGCAAATTAGAGCTTGGAGGAGTTTAAGAGATCCAAGAAAAAAGGGGTGATTTGTAAACTAGATTTGGAAAAGGCTTATGATTTGGTAGATTGGTCTTTCTTGATGGAGGTGATGACCAATTTTGGTTTTGGAGATAATTGGTGCAGATGGGTCTTGGGTTGTATCATGAACTGCCATTACTCTATATTGGTAAATGGGATAGTGGTCGATTTCTTCCCAGCCTTGAGAGGGATTAGGCAAGGAGACCCCCTCTCCCCCTTTTTATTTAGTTTAGTAGCTGAAGTTCTGGGGAGACTAATTTATAGAGCAAATTCCAGGGGCTTAATTAGAGGTTGGAGAGTTGGGAGGGAGCTTGTTCCACTCACACATTTGCAATTTGTAGATGACACCATACCCTTTTGCGAAGCAGGGACCCTAGCAGGATTGGAAATTTGAAGCACACTATACGACTTTTTGAGCAAATGTCAAACCTTAAGGTGAATTTTGAGAAGAGTTGTATAGTTGGGGTAAATATGGGCGAGGGGGAGATCTCTGAGGCTGCAGACATCTTAGAATGTGCAATAGCAAATTGGCCCCTTAATTACCTCGGTTTGCCATTGGGTGATAACCTTTAGAAAAGTGAGTTTTGGGTTCCGGTTGTGGAGAGGTTTGAAAAGAAATTAGCAACTTGGAAGAAAAATTATTTGTCTCTTGGAGGGAGAACCACTTTAATCAGGTCTACTTTAGCTAACCTTCCAAAGGTGGCTAGTAGATTAGAAAAACTAATGAGAGACTTTCTCTGGGAGCCGGGGGAGGAGAAGAAGGACCATAGGGTGGGGTGGGAGATGGTTTGTAGGAGTAAGAGGGAGGGAGGTTTGGGTATCGGGAACATAAGGAATAGAAACTTGGCTCTTCTAGGGAAATGGCTTTGGAGGTTCTCATTGGAGAAGGACAAACTTTGAGTGAAGATAGTGGGAAGTATTCATGGGGTTGCAGCAAATGGATGGGACTCTGGGATTCTGGCAAGGAGTACAAGTGCATCTCCTTGGAAAGCTATTCTACCTTTGCTTTCTCCATGGATTCGGTATGACTTGCACTCAGGCAATCTCATTAATTTTTGGGAACATGTTTGGATTGGGGACTCTACCCTAAAAGACCAATTCCCAAGCCTTTTTGCCCTTTTCACTTTTAAAAATGAGCCGGTGTCTTCATTCATTGCTCCTTCTAATTCTATTTCTGGGGTCGGCTGGAACTTGGGCCTACGAAGAGATATCAGGGACATAGAGTTTGATGGTATCTCATCACTGTTATCCATTCTTGAAGGGGTGTTCCTAGAGCCAACAAAGGCGATAGTAGAATTTGGACTCTCACCCCCTCTGGTTCTTTCACTTGTGCCTATTTTCTTTAGTGCTCTCACACATTCTTCTTCTTCTGGCTTGTCTTTCCCTGTTAAAGAGGTGTGGTGTCTTCCTATACCTCCTAAGGTTGGGAGTTTCTATTGGGAAGCCTTTCTGGAAAGAGTTAACACAACAGATTTACTTCAAAGAAAAAGACCCAATAGTTGTTTTTGTCTTCATTGGTGTGTCCTCTATAAAGCTGATGGTGAGTTTGGATATCATTTACTAATCTCCTGTTGGTTCACTAACATAATTTGGGAGTGGTGTACTTCTTTGTTTTGGTGCAGGTGGACCCCCCCTTCGAATGTGCTAAGCCTATTCACATTTATGCCGTTTTGGCCAACAAAAAGGGCCAAGATTATGTGGAGGTGTATGACGGCTGCAGTCTGTTGGACTATTTGGAAGGAAAGAAATTCACGAATATTTACAGATAAGGAGAGAAGTTTGGAAGCAATGCTGGAGGTCATTAACATTAGGGTTATACACTGGCTGAAAACCTTGGCTCTGTTCGCAGAATTCTCAGTTGATGAGCTGCAAAGAAAGTGGAAGGAGATAGCAGTACTTGTTCTAATGAGGAAGGCCTCAAATGTTTGTTGGATCCTCCCACCCCATGACTTTGTTACACTGAACCTTGATGGCAGCAGCTTGGGCAATCCAGGGCCATCCGGAATAGGAGTAATAAGAGATGAACAAGGGAATCTATTAGCTATGTATTTTGGACAAGTTGGGTGGAGATACTTTGAGAACTGAGATTCTTGTAGCTCTTGAAGGAGTACAAAGAATCAAGGATATGCATATTAACAAGCTGATCATAGGAGATTCTGAAGTGGTGGTAAACTGGTTGAAAGAGGATAGTCTTAGACTTTGGAATTACAGTAATGAAAAGAGGAAATTCAAGTGGCTGACTAAGGACATGGAAATCCAATACAAATGGGTAAAAAGAAGTGTGAAATGTTTGGCAGATGGTCTAACTAGACAAGGGGTGAACAGACATTCTATTTTTTGGGCTGTCTTGTAATTTTTGTTCTTTTGATGTTTAATGGTTGTTCTTGGGAGCTAAGATTGTTTAGCCCCCTTGCCCTGTAATTTTCTCATATTTTTAATATTAATTCAATCCATAGTTATTGATAAAAAAAAGTTCTCGATGATTGTCTTTTGTGATCTTTGTTTGGTTCTCATTTGCTTGTATGTTGTTTAGTTTGAGGGGGCTTAGTTTGTCTGATGCTTTTATTTTGTTGTTGTGAGTATTGAAGGTCTATTTGTTTGGGTGGGTTAGTTGTTATTGAGTCTAGAGTTTATGTTCTTTCTCTTCTTTTCGGGTGACTTTCTTTAATTTTGTCTTTGCCGGAATGGTACCAACCATCCAAAGCTCAACTTATCTAATTAAAAGAAGAGAAATAAGAGCTTAGTTCAGAAATGTGGCTAGAGCTTATGCTTGAAACTTCTAATGAATCCAGAGGGGAAAAGTGGGGGCTTCTTTCTCTTAATTGAGCTTACAATCATTGGAGTATCCACTGGCCACATGCTAGACAAGTAACAGGCTTTCAGCACTACTAATATAGTGAGAGGATGGAAAAAATTTGCTTCTTCTGTTTCTAGTGAGATCCCATTCTAGCTTTGTGGTCTTCCTCCTTGGAATCCACCAAACTCAACTTTGATGGATATTTTTTCGGATATTCAGGGACTTCAAGCATGGTGATGATTTCAGAATCCATGTGGGGGAGATTTTGTAGCCATCTTGGGACTGGTGGGAGATGGTGGTTCTATCAGGGTGGAGCTACCATTACTCTTGAGAGTGTTGTGGTTGACATATGCTCTAGGTTATAATACTAGAGTGGAGGTTGAGGGTGACTCAGGTATGTTATGGAATGGATTAGAGATGGAAATGAGGGGCCGTGCTTGTATGGCAACTGTACAAGAGAAGTCAGATTGGCTGGCAGAAGGAGCATCTCATTCTACTAGATGAGGAAGTATCAACAATTTAGTTCTCTTTTATGTAGGGGGATTGTCAAGGTGAAGCTTAGGTGACAAGGTGCCCATAATGGGTCACCTTGCTTAAGTGCCTAGCTATTTTGAACATGGCGTCATGAAATAGTTTTATATTCTTTATTTTTTGAGATTATAATAATAAAATAGACATTACTAAACTAATTATTCATTTTGTGGGTTTATATACTAGTTTCTTTTTATTATTTTCAGATTTGTTAGGCCTCACATTCAACACATATGTTAGTGTATGCTGTCTTGAACCCTTGAAGACTTCAAAACCTGAATTGATAAGCAAGGAAAAACTTAAAATTTTCCTAGGACAAAAACAGGGGTTTGGCCCCTATATTTTCTGAATTTTCTTCTTCCTTCGTTTTTTCATGAATATATTGATTTTCTATGCTCTAATGTGAGGTTTATACCTTCTTTTTACTGCGAGGACTGTAGATAATTACTATGGAAAGATGGTTACTGGTTATTACGAAACCAAGGGAATTACCCTAGGATGCATGTTTTTTATTTGGAAAAATCCATCGCCTAGGCGGTGCCAAGGCCCCCACCTGTCCCCTAGTCTTGCCTTCGTACCTTGAAAACTATGTTCTACCTTACAAGATCAATGTGCTTGAGTTTTATGGGGTGTGTGGGGAGGCTTATTGTGTGGGCCAGGGTTCTCTATTTTTGTTATTATTTTATCTTCTGCTTTTCTTTTCATTGGTATGTTCTGCTTTTTGCTTTTTCTAATGATCTTTTTTATGAATTATCTTTTATCTCATTACTGATAAAAAATGACTATCAAACCCATTTCTTCTATGCATCAATATTTCAGGCTTATTTTCAGGGTTGCAGACAGTGGAAAAAATTTTCCCCCTTACCCAACTTGGGTATTTCCTTCCTATACTCCAAATGACTTTCTCAGACAACTATAACCATCTGTGTTCTTTCTTTTAGGAAGAATGAGGCAAATGGTCTGCTTACAAAACACATGCACACATGTGTATTATTGCATATTGAAGATTATTTCTGCACTTCTATCGTATGGGAAACTAATTTGGAATCTGTGGGTCATAACTATGTTTAATTGCATARCTTTTACAAGTCCAAGTGTATAGGATCCTCTCTCCATTTCTTGTTCTCTGATTTCCTGTATAGTCTATATCCAAGTTCTTCACAGTATGTGCTTCATTTTGTTGCCCAACTTTCACGGTTTCTGTTCACTTTGTTACTGCAGGTATGGGGTCACTCCATTTACTCCATTAAAAGGACTTTTTATCCAAGGTCCTGTTTTTATTAGCTTTTACTTGGCTGTAAGATCCACAAGTCTCTGTTTCATATTAGAAGATGCAATTGTTCATTTTAACTAGCAAATTTACTTTTTTGCACTTATTGAAACATTTTCTAGAAAGTCTAAATCATTTTTATTTCTTGTAGATTTCAAACATGGTAGAGAAGGTTCCATCTTTTAAGGGAGGTGGAGCATTCTGGTTTACTGATCTCACAACCCCAGATAATTTGTACATCTTTCCAGTTCTAACATCATTGACCTTTTTGATAACTGTTGAGGTAGGCATCCCTTTTGTTATACCAATATTTTAAACCATTGTTGAAGTCTCTTCTTGTTTTAATTTTTCCCATTCTTTGACTTGTACACACACATTCACTTCATACCTCCTTGCGTAAACAGAACAAGGGCTCCGTGTTGTGTTTTGGGGYTCCTTGTGTTATATCACTTTTATTCAATATCTGTAACCCATCATTGACCTGTATGACTGGTCAACCCATCACTCGGAGACGGTCACAAAGGTGGGTCCTTTTCACCCAAACCCAGTAAACTTGAACAACTTGTTAACTTGGTCAATCCGTGCAAACAGTTTATGGGTTTGAACCAATCAAACATCTAAATTTAAATTATACCTATACTATCCATTTAAAGGAAAAGAGACATTTTTGCAATGAAATATTTAATATGGCATGTTGTAGTACCATAGCAAGCTTCAGATTTCACTTGTTACCAATACTAAATTATAAAATGTGACTGCTAGCTGAAGTAATAATTACCTTCATCATTTCTTTATCATTTGTAAGACCACCTATGCTGTATGGAGCAGAATGTTGGGTAGTCAAGTTAGGACCCTGGACCCAAAAGAGAAGGCCCAGGCCTAGCCAGATGGTATCCTGTTACCAGAGGGAGACAAAGCCACTATAGTTTAGCTTCAGAAGACAAAACCACATGCATGGCCCTCCTATGTTCGTGTCTATGCCAGGCGTAAACTCCTCCACGTCAGCCAAAGCCGTTGAGCCTGCTCAGAGAACCAGAAGCTGTTATGATATGAAATCATGCGCCTCTCTATATATATGTGGCTACATCCCTAATGAAGGCATGAAATATTTTTATCCGACTTTCTATTCTTCTTCTTGGGAAGTTGTGTTCCCTCGAAGAACACCTGTGTTAGACGGTAACCTAACAGCTGGTATCGGAGACAGGTTAGCCGACCACCAGGTCGTCCTCGATGGAGTACAGGGTTGACTAGCTGGAGACGAGCTTCCATCGATTTGAAGGAGACCTCAAGGAGATTAAAGGACCCCTAGCGCTGGTGGTATCTCAGTATGAGAAACTCAACTCATCTGGGAACGCCAGGAACGAGAACAAAGCATCGGGCAGTGAAGCCTCCAGGTGCACGATCGGGATTCCCATCAAAACGGCTAGGCTGGACTTTCCCCGTTTTTCAGGTGAGGACCCCTTATCCTGGGTATTTAGAGCAGAAAAAGTACTTCGACCTGCATTCAACCCCTGGCTATCAGTGAGTTTTGATAGCATCGGTCTACCTGGAGGGAGAAGCAATCTCCTGGTTCCAGTGGTATAATTCTTCTCACCCCCACTGCTCCTGGGCGGATCTTACTGGGGCATTGTGTGCTCAATTTGGCCCTACTGCCTATGAAGACTTTGATGAGAAAATAGCGACCTGAGTACTAGCTGGACTGAGAAAGCTCTGGTTGGCAGCTTCGTGGGAGGCTTGAAGGAAGAAATAAAATTAGAAGTGAAGGCCTGGAGACCCACTACAGTCCTAGTGGTAGCTGGCCTTCTGAGGTTACAAGAGGAAAAGTTGAACCGGGCTAGGCGGCTGAACTAACCGGTTGGACCCATTCTTAAGAACCCCGACCCAAAATAGAGAACCTCGGTTCTTCCAACACCAAGAACCTGGGCCCAACAACCCTCCCCTTCAAACGCCTAACTTGGGCCGAGATAAGTGTACGGCCCAACAAGCCTTCCTCTTGTAGACTGATGATTCAAACAGTGAAGAGAACCCCCCATGGGCCCAAGCCCCAATAGAAAAAGGAGGATTCCAGCGACTTGATGGTTATGGGGACCCTTGAAATATCTCTACAAGCCCTGGTCGGTCAAAAGACCCCTCAAACTATGCGGGTGAATGGACTGCTCCTGGGCCAGCTCGTAATCGTGCTCATTGATAGTTGTAGCACCCTTAATTTTGTAACACAACTACTAGCCCAACAGTTAGGACTGGTCATTCATCATGCCTCTCCTTTTTCTGTTTGTGTGGCCAATGGGCAGCGAATCTACTGTGAAGGGGTATGCCCAGACCTGAATTTAAAGATATAGGGTCACTCGTTCAAGGTGGATCTCTACCCCCTTCAATTCTCAGGTGCGGATGTAGTTCTGGGGGTCCAGTGGCTGTGCTAGCTGGGACCTGTGATATGCAATTGGGAAGCCATGACAATGGACTTCACTATACAAGGGTATAGTGAACTCTGGGCCTGGGCCTAGTTCATTGAAACCCAAGCATCTTCAACCTCCACCATCCCCTCTAAACTCTGGGCCTAGTTCTGGCCAGAGAGCCACCGTCCAAATATCATCTCCCTCAACTATGTTCGCCACTGAGGGAGGTGGGCCTTGCCAACGAACTTTTACTCTTATCCACTCCACTATGCTTTTGGTGGAGACAGAATTATCCAGCTCTTCAAAACCTCCGCAGAGGTCCTATTTTCTTCACCAGGTTTTCTGACCAAAGATGCAATGGGAGACCCACAATTCTAACCCAAAAAGAGGAGGGTTTGTTGTTCCCAAAATGCCAGCTGCCTAGCTTGGGATCCCAAAGTTCGAGATGGAGGAGTTCCCCGAACAAGTTTCGAGCACCAGTTTTCCAGATATGTAGGGCCTCGATTCAGAGGGAAGAATAAATAGATACTTATTGTTAGAGATTTGCCTTACCCTCACCTCGAAAGGAACGTTCCAGTTTCTTAGACGCCCAGCATTGGGTAGCCTCCACCAAGACGTTTTTAGTGACTGAACCAGCCAGGCATGCTTTGAGGTAGTCCAGCCGTTGTTGAACACCTTCTCCCTCCAGTCCAATGTAGAAACAGCTTGGACCGGCTTTGATGGAAGCTTCTCCTTCCTTTGTCCAAGTGTTCTTGCGAGCTGCTTCTGCATAGGGGGTAGCAGATTGGAGGGGATGCCCGAAAAGGTGGCCTCTTGAAACCCTACCTCTTCTCCTGTGTCTGGCCCTCTCACGGGAGGTGCCTGCCTTGAATAGGAGGCGTGAACTTCAGAAATTCAGAGATAGAAAGGTGACATCTTGAAACCCTACCTCCTCTGCTTCAGGTCACTTCTCATGTGCCTCTATTCATGGCGTGAACTTCAGAAGTTCAGAGATAGAAAGGTGACCTCTTGAAACCCTACCTCCTCTCCTTCAGGTCACTTCTGACTGGGACCCTATCTTTCTTGGTCGATTTTGGACTGAGTATTTCAGGCTGCAAGGTACTGGCCTTCACCACTGTACCAGCTATCACCCTTAGTCAGATGGTCAAACTGAGGTTCTCAATCGATGTCTGGAAACCTACCTCAGATGCTTCACAAGTGAGAAACCTCATCAGTGGGTCCGCTGGTTACCTTGGGTTGAGTTCTGGTATAATACTTCCTTTCATGCAGCCATGGGTGTCACTCCTTTCAGAGCCCTCTACGGAAGAGATCCACCATCCATCTTGCCGTATGAGGTAGGGTCCACTTCAGTAGCTTCAGTTGAGAAAACTCTTGTAGCTAGAGATCAGTTACTCAAGTCATTGAAGTTCAATTTGGAAAAAGCCCAGCAGCGTATGAAAAGAAACATAGGAAGGTGGAGTGTCAAGTGAGAGAATGTCTATCTTAAGCTGCAACCCTACAGGCAAGCATCCCTTGCAAAGAGGACCTGGCATAAACTCTCACCCAGGTTCTATGGGCCATTCAAAATCGTGGAAAGGATAGGAGCAGTAGTGTATAAACTGGAGCTGCCTACTGGTTCCAAACTATACACAATTTTCCACGTCTCCTTGCTTAAGAAGAGCCTAGGCCCTAAGCCCAATGTCACTGGCAAGTTACCAGAATTTTCAGAGGAAGGCAATGTTGTCACTCAGCCACAATTCATCCTTGACTACCGCTGGGTGAAGTCAGGAAAGAAGGTGGTTCAGGAAGCCCTTGTCTCTTGGACTGGTTTGCCAGTTGAAGAAGCCACTTGGGAGCCATACAAACCATTGCTGCAGCTGTACCCACGTCTTGGCCTTGAGGACAAGGCCTTGCTTGAGGGAGGGGGAGATGTTAGGACCCCGGAYCCAGAAGAGAAGGCCCAGGCCCAGCCAGATGGTATCCTGTTACCAGAGGGAGACAAAGCCACTATAGTTGAGCATCAGAAGACAAAACCACGTGCATGGCCCTCCTATGCTCGTGTCTATGCCAGGCATAAACTCCTCTACGTCGGCCAAAGCCGTTGAGCCTGCTCAGAGAATCAAAATCTGTTATGATATGTAATCATGCGCCTCTCTTTATATATATGTAGCTACATCCCTAATGAAGGCATGAGATATTTTTACCCAACTTTCTCTTCTTCTTCTTCTTAGGAGGTTGTGTTTCCCTCAAAGAACACCTGTGTTTGGCAGTAACCTAACACATGTCCAAAAAATTAGTGTGGCATAAATGTGTATACTGAGATGGATAAATGGAAAAACTAGAAAGAATTGGATCAGAAATGAAGTCATTCGAAAAAACCTAGGAGTAGCTCTAATAGGGTTATAAAATGAGAGAGTAGACTAGGATGGTTTGGTCATGAGCATAGAAGACCACCAACAACACCCGTATGAAGAAACAATCTGTTGCAAGTTGAAAGGGCTAGAAGGGCTAGGGGTAGACCAAAAAGTAAATGGGTTGAAAACTTGAAGTAGTTAGAAATGATTCAAGTGCCCATGATTTAACAATGGATCCGATATTAAATAGAATGGAATGGCAAAACAGGATTCATGTAGCTGACCCTGTATAGTTGAGAGAAGGCTTTTAGATGATGTTGATCATGATGATCATCATTTATTTATCAATGCTTCTAACTCCTATCACTCTTGTGCACTGTGTCACATTCTTAAACTGGAGTCTTCTTAAGCATCTCATCTTAAAATTCTAGTTGAGATTAAAGTTATTCAATCATTCAGTGGCATAGCCCTCTGAGATAGCTAATGGAATCAAACCACAAAAGTGCAAAATACTAAGCAAACCATTCTTATTTACGTATGCTACAACAATATATAGCCAAAGCTTTCTTGCTAGAGAAAGAAACTAGCATTAAAGCCCAATTAATAATGAGCTAATCAACCTAGAAGGCTACAAATATAACTTTCCATGTATTTCTTAGCGACTAGGAGGCTGTTTGATAACACCTGAAATGGCTGAATTGATTGACTTGTTGCTTTGTTTTTTACTGATAAGTTACTGAGGAGGTTGTGAGCTCCTTAATGGCTGAAGCTGTGGTTTGGTTGACTTCTGTTACCCTCAAATGTTTTATTCACTAAAATATCAAGCCATAAGTCATTCAATTCAGCAACTTCAGCTGTTATGAACTTCACAATTTCCAAGATCAATATTGTCATTTACTTTGCCTTAATTTTAAGTAATGTATATTCTCCATGTTAATTGTTAATACCAAGAAGTCAACACCAAAGCACATTCACTTCTCCAAAGATGGTTCCAAGGTCCAAGGTCATGAATCTGGCATGGGCCTGGGTTTGAGTACTACTCATGAATATTAGAATATTATGTTGGATACGTGAAAGGATATGGATAGATCTGGCTATGGGATCAAGTATGGGCCTAGTGCATACACATAGATTCATTCATATGTATGTAACATATTTACATACAGTTCAAAGGTACATTTAATTTTGGCTTCCTATGTGGAGTGCTAGAGGAATCATTACCAAGGTTGGAATAAGCAACACATGGACAGCTGAAGCTTAGTTATGTCAACAATGGAAAGATAATTTGAATCCTGAATAGGTTGGATAATTCTCTTGTAATGAAGGTTTTATGTTCTTTTCTTTTCTTTCACTTGCCAATTGCCATTGGGGTGTAATGCCATTCTAGGCCCTAGTTCTTGTGGTTGGATATACCCTATGATCCTCAATGTTGTCTCTGTGATTGGGTGGCACCAAGCCCTAGTTTTCTTGGAAATAAGAAGGTACTTGTGATCCTCATGAAGATAATCGCTGTGATTGATTGGCACCAATGAACAGGATTAGATGGTTAGGGTGCACTTTCCTTGGCTGTGATTTTGGCTAGTTTTTGTTAGCAGATGGCAATAAATTTCGGAGATTTATAACAAAACTGCCTCTGAAGAATTGCATTTTTTTTTCTCAATTTTTAACTCAGTTTGTAATCACATCATTGTAATTTTATAGTTTTGCTTCAGAGCTTGTTCTGCATCTTTTATGTAACCTGTTTCACTCAATTTCTGTTGTGCTATTATGATTTCACATGATTTATGTGCTGCTGTTATGATTTCGAACCAGTAGTCAGCTAATTGATCTCTATCATTTTTTAGTGCAATATGCAAGAGGGTTTGGAAGGAAATCCTGCTGCTGGCACCATGAAGAACTTTTCCAGGATCCTTGCTGTTTTTACGATTCCTTTCACAATGAACTTCCCTAAGGTATGTTTACTGCAGTATGGTTTGTAAGCTAATTATGCTCCATTTCAGTTGGTTGGACTTTAATTGGTTGAACAGTGGTTGGAGACACTTGGTAGTTATTATTGTTTTAAATTTTCTCACCTCATTAGCAAAATATATTAGTTATATATGCGATTGCTAATGCTTAGAGATTTGTGTCCATTTCTGTATGATGTTCTTTTAATATGTTAAACAATTTCCAAAACATATTTGAAACAAAGTTACTTGTTTGATGAATTCCACGTAAGATTATGAATATATGGGAGTTGATTTTCTCTTCTTAAATTTTCAATTGCAGGCAATATTTTGTTACTGGGTTACATCCAACCTATTCTCACTCACGTATGGCCTAGGTGAGCCTATTTACTGAGGAACGACCAAGACTTTGGTTCATATTCGTCGCACTTTGCAATCACACATGCAGACACACATGCGTGCACACTCGCATAAGAACATAAAAAAAAAAAAAAAAAAAAAACAAGAGAACAAGCACTTTGATGTTGATGTTGCAATATATTCTATGAGATTGCAATCTGATCTTGTTTTTGTTCATCAGTACTCAAAAGCCCTTCAGTGAAGGAGTTCCTGGGTCTTCCCAAAATGCCGGTGCCACCTCCTACTACAACACAATCTTCCTTCTCTATGTCTTCACTATTTAAGCCATCCACACCAACCACATCGGAAGCTTCACTCCCTGTTGAGCCCTCAAAGGTCATTGATCGAAGGATATCTTCATCTTCAGTTCTCAGTCAGAGGCTCAGGAGTCTAGAGAAACAAGTGAAGGGAAGAAAGAAAAACAAGAAAAGGTGAGAAATTAATGAGGCTTGGCAGGTTCTCTCCTGTGGAAAAAATGTGGCAATCAGGGGTGAAGACTAGTCTCAATACCTTAATAATACATAAAACTCAGAGGGATTTTGGGAGTATATTTTGAACTTCGAAATATCAAAGGGATTAAAGGATTTACGAGTTGTTTTTCTGATAGAGGGGATTGTATCCTATTTTGATTTTTTTTTCTTTTTCCCATTTTTGACTAGCGACTTGTGGCTGAGTCAGAGAATTGTAGTTCGACAAGTCCAATAAACGAGGACAGTAAAAAAAGAACTACTTGTATTTATTCAAATGATAGAAATGTAGAAGTAAATTTTTGGGATAAACACCCGTATGGAGTTTATTGCCTCTCAAGTCTCAAGTTCTCAACAACAATAAGATGGTAGAAAAAATTTTTAACCAAAAACCATTTTCTCTCTGACTAAAGTCACTAAACACAAGTCCTTCGGGGAGTGATGCTCTGATTCTAATAATTCTGAATCTTTTTAGCGAAGGGGTACGTCCGTCTGAACTGTGATCAGTCGATTGAAATTGCAAATTTTTAATTCGAGGATATTGCGGTGCAACTTGCAAGAGATCATTCATTTGGGTAAAAGATTGTTTCATGGGCTTTTTCGCAAACAATTAATGGCCAACAACTGCAACAATTTGATTGCGTACTTGCATTGCATTGATGGCATGGCGAGTTTACCGCAACAAAGTTCAACAATCACCTGTGGTCCCTGGTTAAATGACTGGGCTTTTTGGAATGATTTCGTTGAGCCACTATAGTCTATTAGTAGTCCCCCTATAAACCACATCTTGTCCATGAATTTGGCATCAATCCACGATGTACGGTGGAGTTGAAGAATTCTGAGCTGGGCTGCAGAAAATCTTTCAGCCACGTAGGGGCCATTTTCAGGGTATTTATAGGCATAACGTGGCCTGGTGGTTGTAATATTGATATGGTTTGCCTTTAGTCCAGCTGATAAATGTGACAACTGGTTGAGACTGGTTGAACTTCTAGAAGGCAATCTTAATAGATTCTAATGCATCAATTAAGTTGAATAGTAGATATGTATATAGTTCGTCAAAATTTTGAAAACATATCACTGACATTAATTCATTAAATTAAATCTGAATTTGCAAGGTGCCAACCAATGGGTTAGTAAGGTTTCCTGTTGGTCATAGCGGAAATTTGGAGAACTGGGATCGAATCCCGCCTGCACCTAGGTTGGGGGATGGGCTACCCCCTTGTGTAGTCCTCTAAAACAAATAAAAAGAACATTATATCTGAGTTTCAAACAACTGTAAATGGTAGACGATACATATGATATGATACCATGCAATATGGTAAAAGAAGTATTACTTTTTAATGATCAAGCAATTGCTCTCTCTTTCTCTCTCTCTCTCTCCCAGTTTTTTGATATGAGATCAACAATAAAAGTTCATATAACTAGAAGTGTTTCAGAGTTGAAATTTAAGAGTTCAGACATGCTATCAATAAAGCACTCCCAACACTGTTCCGACAAGCCATTACAATTGCACATTGGAAATATCTCCCCATGAACAAGGGAGATGTTCTCAATGTATAGTTGCAGTGGCCTGTCAGGGACAGTGTTGGGAGCATTTTGTTAATAGATCCCTACCCATCATTTTGTTTATAGATCCCTACCCGTACCCTGATTTAAAATCTATGTCATTCTGATAAGTAGTTGTAAAATGATATAGTGAATAAGTTACTAAAGATTCTTTAATGGCTTAAGGCTGATCACCAATATAGTGGCATCATAAAAGTGATAATCAATCAGCCAAAATGGCTTAAGTATAAGACCCATTTTTTGTCTTATGAATAAGTTATTAAAGATTCTTTAATCACTAAAGCTGAAACTGGGTTGATTACTATATTCTCAAATATTTTATTATTTAATTATTTTACCCACTAAAGTATAAAGTAATAAGTGGTAATCCATCCGATTGCTTACTACTTTTATGATGCCAATTGATTGGTTATAAGTTTTTTTGGTATCATGTCTTTTTCAACGTTATACATTTTTCTAATGTCCATTAGCTGATATAAACCGATACTGTAGACATATTGATATTGGTCCCTACAGTGGTTCCGGTGGAAGGGAATTGAAACTCAAGTCACTTCAACCACGCTACCTATCCATAACCAAAATATTGATGACTTTAAACCTTCAAACCTTGCACTAAAGCAAACCTGCTTATCTTTTGTTACTTGTGTTCAAGTGATGGTACTGCAAGGGGGTTTCCCTTCGCTCATATCGTGTCAGAGGAAAGCATCCCACCACTTCTCGAGTCTCAATTTTCATATCTAAATCCTAAATCCTAAAATCAAAATATAAAATATATTTGGTTGGATGCTTGATAGGAGTCAAATATTTTCCACTGGGAGTAGAACTCATGCTTGAGGTTGTTATCCTGCATTTTAATAGTGACAGAGTTAGGTTTTCACAAACACATATAGTTGTATTGGACCTAACCCGTTTCAAGATTTGTTATTTTTCAGATTCAGTTTCACCCATTTACACCTACCTCTGATATCTCTGCTCTATCTTGTTAGTTGAATTGTTGGCCTATTTTTTCTGGCCTTTCTGTTGCATATGGATCCTGTACCTGTACTGTGCTTGTACCCTTTTGAGTATCTGTAATAAATAATACAAGACCATAAAAGTGGTCCTGATCTTGAGTGTGGTGTGGAGTCAGTTCAGGACCGCTTCCCATCTTGAGGAGAGGCAATAGATCATTCGTGATGGAAGGAAACTCGCAGACTGTGATAGAGTGATTTCCGTGACATGGTGAGAGATCAGGGATTATGACTTAGCACAACCACACCAAGACTGTAGAGCATAATGACTTGAATTCTCTTAATAACATTTGCTTTATGGAATATGGATGTTAGGGGACGGATTACACTGGGGTTGTGTATATAACGAATCTGGATTTGCTCCTCACAGCACTTTTAGCTTTGCATTGAGAATATCCCTTTATTTGAATTTGTCATTCATGGGAACATGTTCCCAATGCAATACTGTCATGTGCTGTGAGGTTGGTATGAGATGCGTTCTGTGAGAATCCAACCCGATTTCTTGCATAACCCTTTTTTCATAAGTGGTGCCCAAAAAAAAAAGTGTGTTCCTTTCATATGTTTAGTGCATTCTTTTTTACATTCTTTTCCTTTTCTATGATCTCTTAGTTTTAATTTAATCATGATTTGATAATTAAGAAAAGCGGCAGGAAGAATTGAAACAGTGGATTATTGAACGAGATCACATCTCTGCCCCACAAGGAGCCGCCCCACAGCATATTTCTGCCATGTATTAGAAACATCTCCCGATGATAATACCAGTTCCGATAACATCATCATTGGGAAATGTTCTCAATACATGGGGGAAATGTGTTGTAGGGCAGAGATGTGAACTCTTATTGAACTGCTGGTCTCAGCTGTTTAGATTCTAAGTGATTATATATGCGCTGGGTTGGATATTAATTGGAATTTGGGAGAATTGAACGGCAACATCTTTATAACGGATGGTGGGAGAGTGGTACCAAGTCCCAACCTCCTTTCTCCTAGAGGCTAGAGCCCATCCAATGTTGGGAGTTTACATCTCCGCCCCACAACACCTCATAGCACATCCCGGCTGTGTATTGAGAGCATCTCCTGGTGATGACATCATCGATTGTAATATCAACATCGGGAGATGTTTCCAATGTACGACGAAAATGTACTATGGGGCATTGTGGGGGGGAGATGTGATTTCCAATGTCGGACCCAATTCTTACATGATGGGCCCAGGCTCATGTAGATACACTTGAGACCAGTTTCCAATGTACACTGTAAACTGTAGTGTCATGTGGGCAGGTGTGCGTAGGAGATCTGAATTAGAATGTGACACCTAATACAATTATATCAAAAAAGTCATTTGGGTTTGTTAATGATATCTGAAAATCCACGGTTGGATTTGACATCTCATCCGATTATCATGGATTCAATGATGTATTCATGTAATTTACAATCTGTATCTAATTATTGATCGTATGGGATTCTGATTTAACGTCATCCAATTTGATTAAAATTCTGAATTGAGTTATATTTTAAAATTATAAAATATATTTTTATATATAATAATTTAGTATATATATTTACATTAATTTATTATATATAAAATCTGAAAAGTAATTACTTTTTTAATTTTTTAGTATTTTAAAAAATTAAAACCAAATCAGATTAAATTTGAATCCAACATCTTTAAATCCGATCAGATTTAGATACAAGTTTTCAGTAATTGAATTGGGTTCAGATTGTTATAGCCCTAATTTCATTTTGTGTTTTTTTTGGCATGGTTTTGAAAACTGAACTGGACAGTCAGACCAGAAAACCAGGGAATGGCCAAAAGCTGGTTTCAAAACCATTTTTGGCCCAAAACCATTGATTTGGTCAATGCCCGCTGATCCGAATAGTTAAACCATCAATCCTTTTCGCCATTTTATTATTATTATTATTTTTTTAAGACCATTTGACCAGGAACCAGTCCCAGAGCGGTTTTATGTTTTGAGTGGTGGTGTTTGCATGCGAGGACGATCACAGCAGATTTTTGTGAGATATATGGTTGAGGTTGATTACCAAAATTCCCCAAAATAACTCGAATGAGCATTATTAGTTGTTGATGAAGCTTCTTACACGTTCATGCCCGTGCCAATGTGAACTCATGAATCTGAGTCGGGATCTGGTTTCAATAAGCCATTGTAGCCATACAACCATTACATCTCACCATGAACGACAAGAAAAATGTTCCTGATGTACAGCTCTATGGCTGCAATGGCTTATTGGGACCAGAGCTCAATTCAATGCATTTGACTACCTAAGAATTCTAATCTCCTACAGTCCTACCTACAGCTACAAAATAGACCTGTTCACACGCTGGTTTTGGGTCAAACTTTACATTATGTTGGGCTTGAGCTCATTCAAATACCCGGCCCATGAACTAGTTGGAAATATCTCTGTTGTTGTCATTCATTTATGGTGGGGGGGAGATATTCCAAATACACGGCAATAACATCTTGTAGATGTCTCCACTTGCTCCCTGGATTCTTGGGAACTACATCTCCTCTGAGATGGGAAGTATCCCCCCAGCCAAGTTGAGATCAGAACTGTCCCAACAAGCCTCCGACATGATTTGTATTTTGAGAATGAGACTGGAACTCAATCATGTCTATGATGTGAGAAGAGTTTTTTGTTGTGATGGAAAAGTAGGGAAATAAATAGAGAATTCAACCCCATCTGATCTAACCTTATATAAGTTCACTTCCTTTAGCCATTTTT